CCACTGTTTGCTATCCCGTCAGAAATGAGCATTTCTATGTAGGAGAAAAAAACAAACATTTTAGTAAGGGACAAGTGCTGACGAAATCGAAGTGGGCTTGAAGAGATGTTATTACAGTCAAGGGTGCTTAACATGAGCGTAGTCGACGAGAAAAGAATAATAATAATAAGATATTAAAAACTTACCGCCTACTGTTGCGTATAAACACGACACATTAATAGAATTTCCAGATCCGGTAATCTCATATATATGATATATAGGAATCAAGAGTGTGGGATAGACTTACCTCCTTGTGGTGGACCCTGGGCAACGTATATTCATACGGCAAAAAAGCCTATTAACCGGCAGTTGACTTCTTACTTCAAACTACCATCACCCCACTGTATGTCATATTCGACCCCTACACAGTACTCATCTTACCCTTTCTGTCTGCCTGTCTCTTTTACATCTGCGAATCACTTTTCTATTCCCCCTCCCGAATTCTTCACACTTTGATGTTCCTCCTCTTCTCTGTGAAGCCCAAAGTCAGCTAAAGGGCTAATGATGAATATCAAAGTGCCTGCCATTTGTTTCAATGTGAACAAAACGCTTCTCCCTCTGCACCAAGATAGACGCACTGAAGTTAACCCTCAAAATAACTTCTTTCAAGGTATCTGATTACGATTAGAAATGACAGCTAAGTATGTCTATTTGCAATAATGCATATTAGCGAAAGCTTCCGTTTCTACAATAATGCAGCAACAATAACCGCTAATCTTGTTTAACTCTCAGATTAAGTATTAAACAACAACGTTACAGGTAGACAATTTTTCGACAGCACATTCTACCCATATTGCAAATTACGTTTTTAAAGAACATAGGAATATCTCACACATTAACGCTTCCCCAGTAGGAAAATAGACACCGCATAAACTAGCCGACAATGCCTTAATCTTCTACGGCACCATCTACACAAAAGGCATCTACATAAAAGGCATCGACGAGGGTTCAAATTCATGACTCACCACACATTGGCTATCACCGTTAATCGGATTTCAGGCACTCCAACAATTTATTTATATAAAATGGCAGGCGTCTTGATGGTTATCATTAGCCCTTTAGTTGACTTCAGGCTTCACAGAGGGGAAGAAACATCAAATTGAAAAAGTCGAGAGGGGGGGGGGAACAGAAGAGTATTTCAAAGATGTAAGAGACAGACACAAAGGTAGAACAAAGGTGAGGTGAGTACTGTGAAATAGTCGAATATGGTATAGAGTGAGGTGATGGTAGTTTGAAGTGAGAAGTCCACTGCCGAATAATAGACTTTTTTGCTGTATGAATATACGTTGCCCAGGGTGCACCACGTGGAGGTAAGTCTATCGCACACCCCGGCACTCCAACAAAGCATCTGATATTTGTCAGCCTGTGACCGAGTGGCCGTAAGCCCCAAATGGAGGAATACACATGCTGAAGTAAGGGGGGGGGGGGGTAAGCTTTTGCCTGATTCGAGAGACGAAATGGAGAACAAAGCACATTTTAATCAGAATCGAACGTGACGATGCACTTTAAATGATCATGACTAAGAATAAAGTTCTCCAAACTCTTAAAATGCACACAAAAATCCCAAAAGGGGCTTAATTAAAAACAAAATTAACATAAAAAAAAGAAACGAAGAGGAAAAGAAACAGTATGGCTCACTGTGCTTTTAAGCGAATTTACAGATTTTCCAAAAAACAGGTCGGCTTGATTAAATGAAAAAAATATAAGGTAGGAAAAATCAGGATGACAAGACCAAATATTACCTGGCATCGAGGGGGGGGGGGGGGGGGAGAGGAGGGACTAACCATAATTGAGGTAAAAAGCGACACCACACGTTAAGAAGTGATAAAATCCTAATCAAACCACTCACACATTGTAATGCCAAAAAAGACAACCTTTATAGACTGAACTGTCTAAATTTGGGAAAAAACGAAGTGTAAATTAAATTGAAAAGGGACTAATCAATTAACACGCTACGAGACGATAATAAAATAAGTCAAATGGATGAACTGCAAAGCCATAAAATATCGATGAACTGCCACAACGAACAAATATGAGAAACGGGCTTCATCGAATTTCCTTGTCTTCTAGATTAATAATAGATGTTTACCAAAGAAGAAGAACTATTATTTTATCGTATATATGGGATATTCCTCACCGCTCAATTTGGTCGAATTGAGCGGTGCGCTTTCTTCAGCAAACAAACGAATTGGAACAAAAACGTGAAATGGCCACCTTAGAACGAGTGCTTTTACATCTCTTTTTCAAGAAAATTCACGTTAACAAATAAGCATCACCATATAACCTTTCCTTCAATTTATCAAATTAGTGCAGAGGTCAACGTTTACGCATGTCGAGTGAAAGGTAATGAGATCAATACAATTCCAGTGATGTGGATATTCAATTGCATTGATGAATTCTGATACAAAAATAATAATGATGGAAATTGAGTATCTCATCAGAAGAACATCAAGTCACCTCCTATTATTCAATAACCGAGTTGGACAATTGTTGACTGATCCTCAATTAAAAACATTTAAAAAATAGGAACCCGAGGATAACAAAAGCATCAATAAAATTTAGAGTAAAATGAGAAAAGATGTAATTTACCATTAGCACCTGTGTCACCGTTAACAGTGACAGGTCTTTGTCGAACGACTTCATGTGGTGGCGCAACTTCTCCACATTGATAATCAACAGAGGGAGCACATCTTTTATGGATGAGTAATTTACAGTTGATACATTTGTAACCCTGTTGCCCAAGACCCCATATTCTGTCTTCACAATAGGCACATATAGCATTCTAGAGAATAAGAAATAGTAGGTTGATTAAGCATCAATTTAAACAGTTAGATAGGAGAGGAAACTGACCTTATTAAACCGTCTGCCGACAAAATTATGACCTTTAAGATGGTAAAACTTTTTATTCCATCGTTTAGCACCGCGTCGGTACATTTTCACTGTATAAAGTAAAGAGAAATTAAGAGAAAAACACGATGAAAAAGTCAAAATAAAAGAACGAGTCTTACCATCTTCCGCAGGGCAAGGCAAGCCAGGACCCAGAGGAGCACCATTAAACACTGAAGAAAATTAATCATACTTAATTAAACTTTTCAATGAAAAATTATAATAAAGAGAAAGACTCAAAAAACGAACCGTGTACAGCAAGGAATGGTTCCTTATTGGCATAGTAAAGTCTAATAGATTCCTGAAGTTCCTCATCACAAGTAAGCATACAAGGATCTCCTTCATCATCAACCCACTTCATAGTAAAGGGATCATTTGGTCTAAGTTTATACAATGCTTGGATAGATTTTTGGAGTTGTTGAAAATCAAAGGATGAATCCATGTCGGTTACGGTTGTTGTACTAATATATAAACATCATAAATAAAATACAAACCCATTGTGAAACAGTTTCAATCTCATTTTTTATGGAAAACAACGTTCAATTAATCCTTAATGGTAAATTGGAAAAGAACAAGAAACCCGTTTAGTGGTCCTATTGGAGCCTTTGCTTTGCCGCCGACAACAAATTGTGTCAAATCAAGAATCCGATTGAAGGTTTTATTAAAATCTAATTTAAAATGCTTAGTAAATAATGTGAATTGTAAATTAATGAAAATTTGAATAAATCTAATATTTTAATTAAGATATCTAAGAGTACATTTATTCTCGAACGTTGTCAGATATGATATGATGAGTAAAATAATCCTACGTCGGTTAGTAAAAAATTTGTTAAATCAATTTTTTTAATATAATGAGCCATATTATTTACAAATGAAGCATTTGCATAAGCGTAACAATGGCTGTGTTTGGGCTCTGAATTAATCGACAAAGTATTTGACTTGAGGTTCTTGCAAATAGTTTTGAATCATTCTAAAACCAACTCAATGATTTTGGTTTATAAGCTAAAATTTAAAGGAATTTCTTCAATTTTATGAATCCTATTATGGTAAAGGTGCAATAATGCCTCATTTATGTTACAATTAAAATTGTTAAAATACGACAATGAAATATCTTATTATTAATCTGTACAGATATCGTTTCATTATAGCTAAGTAATTCGTAGGAACACGGTATAACTATAGCCAGTATTCATCTTTTTTTAGCAAAGTGACAAATTTCAATGGCAAATAAGTTCGAAGTTCTTACCAGTCCATTTATGCTTTTGAAAGATATACTAATTATTGTCTACTTTGACCCAATTTGAAATCAAAAGGTTGATGAAAAATACAACATTTAAAACAGTATAGAATGCGCCATAGCAATAAGTTTATTGAGATTAGTCGGCTTTCTACCCTTTCTATCAGAGAATGGTTAATATATTTATGCAATCTCATGTAGAATTTAGTGAAAGAATTTTGTTTTATTTCAATTATGAGAAGTTTATCGATTACTATAATTTTCATGAAAAACGCAAACATAGACTAGTGTGCCTGGAAATATTTACTATTTTCAATGGTCAAAAGGTGACATTGACGGTTAGATATATCTATCTTTTCCTGAATAAGTGCAAGCATAAAAAGTTAGATTCGAAAATATGAAATGCTGATTGTCATATTTGCAACCAATCAGCTACTAGAACTTAAAGTATTTTCATCATTTGACAGCAATCCATAAGACATTTGGGTATCGGCATAAACTGTAATAAACTAATCAGGTATAATTTTTGCTTCGGTCGCTATTGGCTCAAAAGCCCCATGTATTGTTTCTTACAAACTTGAAAATATATTGACTTAGCTCAGCTCATTTAAATCAGGGAAGCCATTAATAATATGAGAATCCGTTGAAAATACTTAATTAATTCAATAACGCATTAATAAACGCACTAGTTTTATGTGAACAGAATTTTATCGTTTGATGTTAATGTTTACTGGTAGCCCATTTAACTGCATAATGAATGGAATACATGCTCAAACTTGTTCGTAAATCAAGGGACCGACTGTGAATACAGCAGTTGAAATTTTTTATGGCAAGCCGTAATTTACAATTGATGATGTTCGTGAACCAAATGTCGTCCATAACTAAAAGTTAAATTAGAATTCGTTTCTTCGGGTCATCTCGATAATACTTTTTCATTTATAACAACATGTATCTGTATAGGATCCATTATACCATTGGTTCTAAGACGAAGAGTAACTAGATTTTGATTTATTTTAGACATTTAAACACTTACTACATATACTATATATAAAGTATATTTGTTAGGCATAATAGAAATACTGCTATATTGAGGACATTTAAGTAATCCTCAGACATATTGCTAACGGATAAAACCAAGAAATAAATATCAGATTTAGTAGTACGGAATACAACTTTCATAGTTCAACTAGAAGAATTGTGCAGAATCTAGTTATTTCAATATTTAGATCAATGGTCAAAAATGCGTCGACCAAAGTCATCTTTTCTTTTTAGAGTCATTATATATTTACCGAGCATTGAACAGTTGAGAAGTAAAATTGCATTGGATAGAAATTACATTGTCAATAAGAAAAATGAAGTGGAAACATTTTGTCAATATCCAAATACATATGTGATTGCGTGCGAAATAAGAAATTTAACGGATAAATAGAAAAATGGTATTAAGCCAATATAAATAACTAAAGGGCTTAAAAGTGATTAAAAAATAATTTCTGACACATAGTTGTAACCGTCTGAATTTGCCTTTAATTTTGAGTAAATAATTTTAATTTTGTTTTGCATAGGCACCGTATTTGAGAATTTATGGTTCATTTCTATTCGCTCACATGGATAGGCGCGATAGGCGATTGTTCAAGATCGCTTATAAACGATTTATCGATTTAAAGGAGAGCTTAAATAATAAAAAAGCATTCGCTATCCAGTTTGACTTACTTAGCGATTTACTTCATACATATGGAACAATCGCATTTTTCAACCCTGTCTTCGTCGTTGAACGCAATCTTGATACAGAAATCTGGGATATGGTGTGCAAGGACACAATTCAAGATATAGCGAAGGCTGTAAGCTAATTTAAATTCGTTTCCTGATTTTGATTTATCTTTGCTTTAGCGTCGAGCTCGATCAGGCCATCGGAAATATGAATTGGGCTGTCAAGTTTTAAACGATAAAATGCTGTGTCGGGCTTACGGGTTCTACTACACACTGCTGCATAAGCTTTATGGTCGTATTTCTAAGCGCTCGTTTCCCGTTTCTGTGAGTTCTTGTAATCTGCGACAGGGTTGCGTCTCTTTAGTCTAATTAACTTTCCGACTCTTTCCATCACAGTTTCGTGAAATCGCTTTTTCTGTAAATACCCCGGTTTCAAGTCAGATCTATTGTGATGGCGACTACCTCGATTTGGATTCTGTTACATTGAAAAATCAACTTGAATCTTTTACCAGCAGGGAGAATGCAGCTCAAAAGGAGCTCGTTAAGCTCGTAGATGCAATTGATAAAAGCAAAAGACGGCCGACTGTTTTGCGTCGCGGTATGAGCTTACCCTCGGATGATTTGCCCGAATCTCAAGATTCGCAAGGACCAAAGGCTTCTGAAATCACTGTGAAAGAGGCTGTCCAGCACCTCATTCAAAACTGTCTCACTCACTTGGGAGATCTGGCCAGATACGAGTCCCAGATTCAACTTTCAACTTCTTTCTATACCTCAGCTCTTTATATTGATCCTTCAAATGGCCATCCATTCAATCAAATGGGAGTTATCTATGCAGCAGATGTGAGTTTATCCCGCATCCCTTACATTCACGCAAAATATGTCTTATACCTTTTTGTTACTTTAGAGTTGCTTTAAAATTGACAATGCCATTGCATCTTACATTCGAGCGATCGCATGTAAAAATCCAAGTGGCAACGCTTGTTTAACTTTGAAAAGAGCTGCAGGATATGTTGCTAGAAAAACTGCGACCGTATTTGAGAAATTTTTACGGGGGGTGTCACTCGAAAAAAATTTTTGCGTCGCTCTTCTCTCTCCCTTTATGAGTTTCTTCCGTTTTTGCTCTGTCATTTTGGCAAATTTGGGTGAGTTGTACTCAAGTCTTTTTTCTAATTAATAGAAAGGTTTGTAACATATGGGCCTGTTGTTTCATTTCAGATGACTGGGTAATTGTAACCGCTACAAAGGAGTTTTCAACTAGTGTCAACGCTTTGCTCTCCATCATTTTCAGTAGAGATGTGCCATCGGAACTGGCTAAAGATACAGCTGATATTGTCAGTAAACTCAAGTTGGAATACTCTAAACTGAAAGCATTGAAGGTACTTCCCGATGATCTGAGGAAACTTCAACTCCGTTTTTTTAATACAGTGGTTGTTTACGCTTTTGGATTAGATTCCAATTTTTTGAATGAGAAGAGCTCGGTGAGTCTATTTTTTGTCTTTTTAGATAAACTGTTAAGGTAGAGTTAGATTTGAATTTTTGTATGGTAGCTCGCTCATAAGCTTGTTAGTATGAATTTTCAAGTTGTGTATTTGTACTTATTATGCTAACCTAAGCTAATACTTGAGGTCATTTAGTTCGAATAGAGTTCCCTTTCATTATTTAAGGTCAGGTAGTTGATTTCGCACTTTCTTATATGACTGCGCTTATTGTCGCTAATCTAAGCCTATATATTTTCAAATTAGTTGTTGGGGCATTAATACTATAAGAGATAGTGCTTTCAGGTGTGCTTGATATTGATTTATAAGTTGCCCATTCGGTGGGTTATGTCCTCATAAAGGCCTTACATAATTGAGTAGTTAAGACATACACAACCACTGCGATTGGTTACTGAGTACCTTGTTATGCCCTGCTCTGGTTTAGATTCCGTCTATAAATGATTATCGATTTCAGTACATGTTTTAGTTATTGTGCGGCCTTACGTCACTTTTTTTCTATTGACTTGGTTGTCTATTGAATTAGGTCGCGAGACAGTGCATTTTGCACGTAATGACCTCAATGATAAACTGGTTTGCAGCCGCCGTGAAAGCAGTTCATGAGAAGAATTCTATAGGTTGTGACAGTCACCTCCCTTTGGCACCTCTTCTGACCCTTATTCTTGCCATCAAACACCAGATTACTCCTCAACTTTATGAAGAAGGCCACCAACCCCTAAGCAATATGGAGGTGCTGAAATTCGCACCTCCACTTTGTGAAGACGTTGTTAATGTCCTTAATTCCCTGGCTAAGGTATCTAAGTCATCTCCGAGGGTGGATGTGGATTTGGAGAAAGTCAACCTTCCTGAGATCTATGCTCTTCAGGGCTTTGAACCCATCGGAATTCCGGCTTTTTCTGGCCTCTTCCAATCCGGTCCCTATGAAGAACTGATGCCTGCATCATTCTTCTGTCAGGATGAAGAAGTACTAGCAGACCAGCATCGAAAGCGCATCTCTTTTCTCATTAATAATCTGATGTAACTGAAATCTATGAGATAGTAATAACTATGACGATTCCGCTTTGACCTTCCTTTCTGTTCGTTTTTGTTTTAATCAGGTGTGTGGCTGAGAGCCTACCGAGTCTACTACAATCGATTGGATCAAAGAAGCGATTGAAATGCGTCCAGCGTGAACCTCCTTGCCTTCCAAATATTGATGCTCCAACCGATTTGAAGAAGTGCGTAGATCCGGGAAAACTTGCCGCTGCTAATGTTCCCGCTAAACCACTGGAAGAAAGCAAAGTTGTCAACAAATCTGAAAAAGTGAGTTGGTGATGTATTGTAGGCGTATTTTAAATAGTAGACATCCAAAGCCAGGGTTGATCTATAGTAGACTTCTATTTATTTGGTGGTATGTACTTGAGGCAGTCCTTTACGAATGGCTAAAATCAGGCGAAACAGCTATGTCGAATTTTATTGTCAAGAATTGTAAAGAATAAAGCCGCAATTAAAAGGCAAATACCGAAGTTCGTTCGGCAGAACAGGGACCGACTGTTGCCACCGATCAAGACTGGCCTTCCGAAAATCTATGAATTTATGTAGGAGGTTCTATTACTTCCACCATATTCGCCAGGCTTCGTCTCATCTGATTAATCGATGAAGCATTCTCCAAGGGACAAACGGATTCGAAATGCCACTGAAATCTAAAACTACTTGAATCAGTATTCTATCCCAAAATGTGAAGCTTTTTCTTCTAAAATCGGTCATTAGGCAACAGGAGTGATGTGAAATAAAAGTTCCACAATACTTAAGGCCATATTTTATCATTGTTATTTTGTCTGGTTCTGAACTTTTCTTAATAATATTGACTTCCTTTTTGCAGACGTCCAGTCCGGAGCGAGTTGTTTCCAGAAGTAAAATGGACGGTATCGACACAGAAGCACTGGCTCGTTTTATGGAAGCGAAACAGAGAGATGTGAGTTCCATTTCAACGCCATTGCTTTATTAATTTCTTTCTAAACAAACGCACGAATTAAGTCCATCCTCTCATTCTTTGTATATTCGCTTGCAGATTGATCGACGTTTAAGGGAGAGCAATGGAGAAAGTGCAGAGGAAAATAGTTCCTTCAAAAGCTCTACTAGAAATCATGGCTATTCGACTTCTAGGGCTGCCAATAATAATCATAGGAGTGGACCACCAAGATTTTCGAAAATTCATCAAGAAATGGCCGTAAGTTTTTTTTCGTGTCAAAGTTTTCTACCAATTGGATTTATCCTTCTTTCCACCACCTTAGAATAAGAATCCGTCTCAGCATCGGGGTCAACAGGTGTGTGTGTGTGTGTGTATAGATGCTTTTATTCTCTACTGCTAGATTGTGAACGTTCTTTTATGTAATTTATACATTCATTTCTTGTTTGGTGCTGCTCTGTTAGGTAGTAGGCAAGTTACGATGGGTATTCAATTCAATTGGAAATTTTTAAGAGGGGTTGTCCTTATAGTTTAAAGATTGATCCTCTCAAATGTGATAATTTGCCACCCAAATCTTCCCCTAGTTGAATTCTCAAGGCCTTTTCCTTCCTGTTTCCCACTTGCATTGCACGTAATTATTCTTCAACAGCGAATGGTATTTGGATAGACGTAGGGTCTTACCGAGATAGTTTCATTGCATTCGATTGGAAGGCCTTTTCTAAATCTTTAAATTCCTTCTTGTGACTGAAATATAGCTGTTTTCCAAGATTGTAATCTATCAAATCTTTAGCGTAAGAACTCAAACCAGCAACAGGTATGTGATTCACTTCGTTTGACGTTTCTAATGCTATTCTTCCTTTACTTTACATACTTACCTTTTTTATTTCATAGAACATGGATTCACCTGATCAAACCTCTTCAGAGGTATGTCAGTTTCTCTTATTTATCTACTGATAAGTTAAATATTCTTTTAAGTACTATATCATGGGTATTAATTTGCTTAATAATGGTTGCGTGGTACTGTTCATGCCATTCTAAACAGTGGCATTGTTCACTTATTAACAGGATAAACTAAATGTTGCTTTAGTAGTATATTGTATGACTCCTTGTGTTGTAGGGAGCCCCAGTGTCGCATTATTCACAAACGACGGAAAGACAAGTTCGGCATGCCGGATACCATCAAAATTTGCCACTATCAAGACCTCATTTGCCTTATTACCCTGGTCCACAGAGGATGGCATGGCCCCGTCATCCCATCAGACTACAACCGCCTCATCACCATCCTATGGGTCCTGAAGCATCGTGGTATCCTATGCATCCTGCTCCATCACCTTACGGATATCCTATGCCGCCACCACATACGCCGTATATGGCCATGGCGACTTATCAGTGAGTGTGTTGCACTTAAATTATGGCTATTCTGCTAAAAAAATGCCTTGAGACCTGCAACTTTAGATGCTATTTCCCATCTCTCTCTCTTCACAAAGTATGATATTATTGAGCTTTTTAAAACTCCTCAAGTAATTTGTCTTTAGCTGATTATGATGCCCTTTAAGTGTAGGCCTTATGAATGAAAAAACTATTGGCTTTGAAAGAGCTTACTCTTCATAAACTTGGTCTCAGTAGTCGATGTTTTCTTTGCAGCTAGGACCTGTGTGCTTGATTGAAATTTTACCGCTAGCTTCTCCGTGTAGGAACACTTATTGTTAAAAAAGGATGAGTGCGCATATTCTTTCGTTTTCTCTTTAAAGTTAATTAGCTTTCTTTTCAGCTGGAAGCATTGGTAGTAATCGATACAAGCCCCCCCTTCCTTTGTCGCAATATGGTACAAAATCTCTGTTAGGTTTTTTTGAAGCTTACCAAACGTCAAACTGATTGCAACTCCAAATATAGTACTTTTAACTCTTCCTCCTCTACGGCTCTATTAGCAATAGTATATAAATAGCGCAGTGAAGTACACTTCCAGAGGAGGTAGTGTTTTGAATAAGGTGGCACTGCCTAAAGTGTATGATTCGTAAGCACCTCATGCAATGCATTTTACACTGAATGGAATGAATCCATATCGATTTGGTAGGGTGTGTAACGTACCTTTTATTGTCATAATTAGTCCAATTTAAGTTACCACCAAATACCTACCATTTTGTTGTTATGTTACAATGTATATCCTTTTTTTCGAGTTGTTGAAAAAATACTCTGATAAACACCGATGATTCAAATATCAATCTGAATACTGTTATTTAAGTTGTAAACTTCCACTTGTCCACATTTTTGGACTCTAATCAGGTGAACATTGATTTGACATATTCTGGAACATCTAAACACATTTGGAGATCTTTATGTTGAGGGAGTTACTTCTCCACCATTTTGAACGATTTAAACTGCTTCAAGTAACAAAAGGAACGGATTTGTCTGAATTTTATCCATTCCATGAAGGTAAGTACTATTAATGATTTTGCGTCAAATCAGTATTCGGCCGGTTTTTTTCATGAATAGTTCCCATCTGTTTGCTCTTTGGTCATTCTTAATCACCTGTGATCTCGATAGGAGTCAATCTGTGTTGCTGTGTGATTTTAAACTTGTTCAATAAAAGTGGCGGCTTATAGTTCCAAAAAATCCTTTCAGGAAGCTAGTTTCCAACGCACACTCGTTTGGGGGGTAACGTCCTGATGTGGCACCCCACATATTCCAGCATCTGTATTAGTCCAGCTTAACATAATTGGGCATATTTGGCTGTGTGTGCATTGATGGGTTTTGAACCCATGACCCTTGACCCTCCAGTATAACTACGCCGCTATCACATTTAACCCATCCTTAATATTTGTCCTGTTCTCTACTAGTATCATAAAGAGCAATTTTAAAGGTAAAAAACCCTGGAGTTATAGCTAAATTTGTGGGTAAGCTAAGTGGAATCGCTCTATTTTACCCGAAGTAAAGAATTTCCTCCTTAATGCCCTCGGTCTCAATCGATTTATTGAGGTTTAAGAGAAGTTTGTTTGCGTGGGTGAATTTGTCTAGGTTTTTGCAGTCGCAAATGTAGTCAATCTTAAAGTATTACAAGTGGTATTGACCGTCTACTCACATCTTTTTCATCAATATTTATTTTAGAGTATCTTTCCCGTTCTGGATCGCTTTTATCTTTTCGCTACTTACAGTTACTTTTTGCGGATTCAATCGAGGTGGGGAGGGGGGGGTATTTTTCGTCAGTGTCGTAAATTCCATTCTAGCAATTTTTATGAGATACTATACTGGTTGCAATTGCTCAGACCCGGCGAAAAGGATAAAAGTTCTACGAATTCTTGTTTAATTCTCTCATATGCGTAGACAGTAGTGATGATCTTGCGAAGAGGCAGTTATGCTCACACTACGATTCTACTTAGCTGAACCTTGTAAAAAGTGAGAAGTGTGCTAGTGCTTAAGCTTTATGTCATGCATTCTTTTATCTTTGCGCTAATCCATTTTTCGTGCTCTGTCTGATCCATTTGGGTATCATGATAATTACTGTGCCAATGAGTAAGTAATTGATGTGTACTAGAACTAAACTGAATTGAATGTCTATTCGTGTCATCAATGGAATTGTCATTTGCTCTATTGGCCCATTGAGGTCAAAAGTTGGCCTTACGGTTCGCGGTCTTACCAGTGGCCTTAATGGTGTTCAATATCTAGCTTTGTTTGTGTACTAACTCCAGTTCATCGGAGATATTCCATCATTTAGTTTCAAATAATTTATTTATTTCAAATGGCAGGCATTTTGATAGTTTTAATTAGCCCTTTAGTTGACTTCGGGCTTCACAGAGAGGAGGAGGACCATCAAAGTGACAAAAAGTCGAGAGATGGGGGAGAGAATAATGATTCACAGATGTAAAAGAGACAGACAGACACAAAGGCAGAGATAAGGTAAGATGAGTACTATGGGAGTGGTCGAATATGACCTACAGTGGGGGTGATGGTAGTTTGAAGTGAGAAGTCAACTGTCGGTTTATAGTCTTTGCCGTATGAGTACACGTTTCCCAGGGTGCACCGCGTGGAAGTAAGTCTATCGCACACCCCAGTTTCAAATAAGGATTTACTAAAAGCAATTAGCGGGCAATTTTTTCATCATTCACGGATTTGATATTTATGAATTCAATGATAAAATGAGTTATTTAATTTTGACTTCATGGG